ACTGTTGTGTTACTTGCATGCACTCACAACTTCTCCTGCTTGCATTGGATTAACTCCACTACATCCCTCTACCCACGCGCAACCACTCACAACATCTCCTGCTTGCATTGGATTAACTCCACTACATCCCTCTACCCACGCGCAACCACTCACAACATCTCCTGCTTGCTTTGGATTCACTCCACTTCATCCGTCTACTCACTCGTAGGCACTCACAACTTCTCCTGCTTGCATTGGATTCACTCCACTACACCCGTCTATTCGCTGCAGACACTTCATGCGTACGCTTGCTTGCTCTGTGCGTGTTGCTCGCAAGCACCCACAACTTCCCTTGCTTCCACCTTGTTCACTTCACAACACTCCTCCACTCACTCGCCACTGTGTCACAGCATCACCCACCATGCCTGCACGTACCTGCAATCGACCCCTCATCAATCCTCACATTCACTCACTCACCGCTCTGTCACTCCGCTCACCACTTCACTTCACTCCACTTCACTCGACAGCATCGCCTCGCTTCTTGGATTCACTCTCCAACATCACCTGCGCTTCCTCTCTCTCGTCCCCAGCAGCGATATGTTCAGGTGTGTAAGAAGCTCGCTGCGATCGCCTTCTTCTCTTCCCACTTTACCTTCTCTCTTCGTGCATGCTTGCTACTGCTTCAATATTTGTGCTCCTGCTTCCTTTGCTCCACCGCCACAACACACAACACAACACACACATGCATGTGCCGCTTTGTCCCTTTGTCTCACCCTTCACTCACTTGCGCCTTTCCCTCTTCCCTTTGCCTTTCCACATTCCATGTGTTGCATTGTTGCTTTGCTCTTGCTGCCACATGCTTCATTCACCCTTGGCTCTCCCTCTCTTCTATCCACTCACCACCACACAGCACCTCTCCACACAACATCACTCGTCCTTCACTTCACTTCACGCAACACAGCACCACAACACAGCCAACCGCTGTGTGCATTCATGCTTGCCTTCGTCCCTTTCTGTCGCCACCTTGTCACCACAAGCCTGGTTTGTCCATTTCACCTGCGTTCCACCACCCTTTCTGTCTTGTTTCAATTCTTGCCACTGCTGTTGTTGTTTCCATGCGCTTGCATGCCTTCCCTTGTCCATGTTCACTACTTTGTGCCGCCACTCCTTCCCCTTCACTTCCCTTTCCTGCCTCGTTCATGTTTCATGCTGCATGTGTTACAACACATCATAAACCCATCAAGCCCACACTGCCGCCTTCTTCACCATCAGCCCTGTTCACATCCACCATCACCAGTCGCTGCAATCATCACTCGCTTCATCCTTGCCCCCACTCCCTCGTTCACTGCTGCTGCTGCTGTCCTCACCTGCGTGCAACACCCACTCCACAGCCACACGCCCAGCTCACCACTAACCCAAGTCACATCACAAGCAACACACACTGTGTTGACTTCACCGCAACCATCAACAACCATCCACACCAGCACCAGCATCACACGACACACACAGCTGCACATGCGTGTTGCATTGTATATTTCCACTTCACTTCAGCAACACGACAGCAAGCAAACACACACACGCACGTGGCAGGAATAAACGAGAAAGTATCCCCATATCAACTGCAAGCAACACACACAAAAAGCGACAGCTGCATGCAGCGTCACACCGCTTCACTCCCCCATCAACCGCCATCATCACCTTCAGCCAATAACAACAACAACAGCAGCAGCAGTGTGCATGCTGTGGCAAGAGAGAACAGAGAGAGAAAGGGAAAGGGACGGGAGGAAGGCAGAAGGATACAAGGAGAGAGACGTGCACGCTGTCAACAACAACACGACACAACAACACAACACAACACAATCAACACCACCCGCTCACGCTCCCCTCCTTCTCCAACGAGGTGCGTGGTCTATGGGCAGCCCCACGTCTTGCTTGCTTGTCCTGTGTCCTTGCTTGCTCGTGTGTCCTTGCTTGGTTGTGCGTGTCATGTCATGGGTTCCAACAAACAGCCTGCACTTCCCCCGCACAAGCATCCATGTGTGCATGTGCATGTGCGTGTGGGGATGACAAAGAGGGAAGAGGGAATGGAGCAGAAGAAGAAGAAAGGGAGAGGTGGGAGGTGCGCGAGCACAGACGATGGTGATGGGCGCACACGACGTGGGTATGGTGAACACACACACACACACACACACACGATCACACAAGCACAGAGAAGCAGCATCGCACAGCAGACACAGCAGACACAAACAGGGGAAACAAGAGCAGCAGCAGCACAACACACACACACACACACGCACCAAGGGAAGGACATCAGCCAGCCAGCATCATCCAACACCCCTTGCATCCACTAGTCCATGCACGCAGCGGTGGTGGTGGCAGCAGCAGCAGAGGGAGAGAAGGCAGAGTGTGCCCTACCGTGCCTGCCTGCCTTGGCTGGCCTGTGTGGGGATGTGTGTCTGCACACCCACCCACTGTGTGTGTGTTTGCGTGTGTCACCATCCAAACACACACATGCGTGTGAGACAGAGGGAAGCAGGCAGCCACCACACACACACACACTGTGTGAATTACAAGCAGACACAGCATGAGCGACATGCACACAGTCACAGTCACAGTCACAATCACACCTTCATATGCAAGTGCAACGCACTGTGAGGTGGCATCAGACTGCTGCGTGTCTGTCAGCATGCATGTGTATTTACACACACACGTGTGTGTGTGCGTCGATGCAGTCCATCATCCCTTTCTGTCTGCGTGTGATCCAAATGCATCCACAGCAGCAGGAGTGCGTGTGAGATCACAACACCCACCACAGCCACGTCCCACCTCTCCCTCCTTCACAAACACACACCCCACACAGCAGTCAAACCAATTGACAGAACTCACCCAAACTCACGGTGCCGGCGTGCCATGAGCCTGTGCAGTACATATGTCAGCCTCACCGACCGTGGGCAACGCCTTGCATGCCTTTGGCCCTGCACACATCCATGGTGTGGTCGGTGCTGTGCGTGTTTTCTGCTTGCACCTGTTCACCATCACACCATCACCCACCACACCCCACACAATCCACGGAACCAAACGAAACCACCCACAACAGGACCGCCAGTGAGTGCCCGTCACAGCGCGCACCCTCTCCCTCCTCTCCACCAACACTGTGCCAGCCACGCACACGAACAACGCAACCCACCATCTCCCACTCAAGCACACACACACGCACCTTGATTCGCGTTTCGTCTGTTGCTTGTTGCTGTTTGTTTGTGTTGGTCTTGTTGGTTCGTGTTTGGGCGATTTGTGGAAGATGCCACAAATAATCGCCCACTGCTGCGTTTGTGCGGCAACTGCTGTTTGCTTTTGCTTGTTGAAGGGCGGACTTGCTTGCTTTGCTTGGTTGGTTGGTTGGTTGGTTGGTTGGTTGTATTCAATGAGACAAGAAGGAGAAGAACGAGGGGGAAAGGGGAACAGCACTGTGTGTGTGTGAATGCAACGCAGGCTCACAGGCCTTGCAGGCTGAGGAGGGAAGGGAGAAGGGGACAAGAAAGGGGGGGGGGATGGAAAAGAAGAAGAAACAGCACACACACACACACACACACAGCTGTGGACAGCATGCGCCCCCTCTCCTCTCCTCTCTTCTTCGCTTCCTGCTCCTCCTCCTTCTCACAGCCACAACAGACAACCAACAGCCACAAAGGGCTGGAAGAGAAAACAAACAAGGCAACAGCCACCCAGCCAGATTGCCATGGAAGAAAGAGGCGAGGCGATGGAGGAGGGAAAGGAGAACACCGTCCATCAACACGCACACATCTGTTGGGAGCATAACGTCTTGTGTCCTTGCTTCCCTCCTTCCTTTCCTTGGGTTGGGTTGAGTTGGGTTGGTTGAGGTGGCACAGCTCGCCATGGCGTGTCCATGCGTGGTGCTGGGGGTGTTGGATGTGGGCGTGGATGGGTTCCTCTCTCTGCGTGTGGAAAGGGGTGGAGGGAAACAGTGGAAGGGGTGGCAGCAGCAGAAAGGAGGAGGAAGGAGAAGAAGCAAGGGGAGGGGGTGGATGTGAGCATGCCATGCATGAGTGGACAATAACAACACATGGGGGTGCAATGATGATGACGTGGTTGGTTGTGTGTTGTGTGTGATGGCACAAGAACACAAAGGTCAACCACAACCACACACACACACACCTCATCGTCGATCAACGCATCTGCCTGATATATGCGCACACGCGCACGCACATCTGCAGTCGCACACACACACGGTGTCACACATGGCATTGTAGAGTGAGACAGCGCACCATGCACACGCATGCACAGCAATGCAACCACAACCACCACAACCACCACAACGACAACATCTCCCCCATCTCCACCCCCCAAATGCACGGTCACATGACCAGGTACACAGCCGTGGTGGTGATGGTGGCCATGATGAATGCCTTCCTCGCTCTTCCCCTCAACCCCCTTCCACCAAAAACACGCACACCATTGCGTGCCCTCACCTCGTGCATCGTGTTGCAGTCGGCGTGGTTGATGGCGATGTACACGCACACACGCACACATCGTGTGAATATGTGTTCCCGGTTGAGATGAGCAAGGGGAGGGAGAGAAATGGGCGACATGACACGACGGCCAGTCAACCCCAGCCAATCCAATCCGGCATCCACCGCCGTGTGCTGCTTCCTGCAGTCATCATCATCATCATCATCACAATCACAATCACACGCACACAGGTGCAAGGAAAAGGAATGAGCCACTGATATGTGTGTCACTGTCATGTGATACCACCACCACACCATTCACGTGCATGTGCACACACACCGCTATCCCCCAACCAACATCATCGCCCTCCTATAACTTCCCTTCCCTCCCTCCTTTCGCTCTGCACTCCCACATCGCACCACCACCGCCATCACCACCACCATCACCGTGTCACTTCCCCTCCCCCTGCTTCCCACCCCTCGACACAACACAGCCCACCAACCAACCAACCGCCAACGATCATCCTCACCTGTGCTTGATGCAGCCAGCCAGCCAGCCAGCCAATGTGCCACAGCGAACCCAAAACGAGGGAACCCCAATCACATGCCACGGCCACCATCATCATCGCTGATGGAGCAGAAAGAGGAGATGAAGGGGAAGAGTGGTGGGCACGAGCCGTGTCCTTCCTTGTCCTCATCGGTGCAGCCCCAAACACGCTGCACAGCACACGCACACGCACGGCCATCATCACAGCACCACCACCCCCAGCAGCGACAGCAAGATGTCTGCCTGCCTGTGAGGCAAGGAGAAACCAACCAGAGACGAACAATGACCGGTGATGGTGAGGACACCAAAGGAGAGACACAAGGGACCACGCATGGGAATATGCAGCATGTTGTGGGCGGGTGCACCAGATACACACGAGAACAACGAAGCAAGCACCCAACAAGCAAGCAACCAGGCACACGATATCACATCCACCACATCCACCACTGCTGCTGAAATACCTGTGTTGGCCGCTGTCTCGATCACGCCTCAACAGTTCCACATCACATGGGGAAGGTTGATGATGATGATGACACAGAGCAAAGGCGATTGGTTGGGAAAGGAGGAAGGGGATTCGGTTGGGAAAACCCGCACATGTCCGCCTGCAGCCACGCACACGCACACATTGAATTGTGTGATTGATTCATGTGAGACACACGTCAGTGCAACCACCCTACAGCCAATGTCTGCTCTGGTGTGTTGGCATGCATGTGTAGATGCGTGTACAAGCGTGCGTACGTGCGTGTGAATGTGTACTACCACCCCATCACACACACACACACACAGCCAACGTCTCATCTTGTGCCTTCTTCTCTCGCACAATTGTGTGTGCGTGTATCGCCCTGCTCGTGTCATGAGGGCTTGGGAAGAGAACGGCCACCGTCCTGTGCAAATCACACACATGTGCACATGCGCAAGCACAAACAACAAATCAGCAAGAATCACACCACACAGTGAGCCAGCATGGCAGAAACAAAGCACATCCACCTCCTTGTGCCACATTCGCATCACCCACATCACCACCTGTGCACGCACATGTCACATCCCCACACAGACACCACATCACCACCGCCACAAGCATCACGCCTGCGCATGCGTGTGCGTGCGCCGTGTACATCCACCACAAACCACTCACCACCATCATCGTCATCGTCATGTGAGGCAACGGCACATCGACGCACATTACCCCCTGCATGTATATGCGTGGAGAAAGAGGTGAGTTGTCACAGAATCAGGTTATCAACGACAACAACACCCATTGCCACCACCAACAGACCCAACGACATCCAACCAGCACCGCACAATCACACACATACATGCTGATGTTCACACCCAACACATCATACACCACCACGTCACCACCACAACCACCGCCATTCATCTCACCTCCACATCCACGGTCGAAGCTGCTACTGACAAATGATGACGACGACGAGGTCGAGGAGGAGATAGACGAGAGACGGAAGAAGCACGCTCATCCACAATGCAGCCACATTAGCTGTGTTGGTGCTGCTGTTGGTGGTGAAAACGGTGAAAACAAACGGCCCCTTGCCACGCCGTGTCCATTTGCTCGCTCGCTCGGCTGCTTGCTTGGTCGGTTGGATAGATGGAGACGGATGCATGGTACTGTGTCACAATCAAGCGAAAAAGGGAGAAGAAGAAAAGACACATGAGTGGACAGAACAGACAAGGAAAGAGGGAGGCGAAGGAGGAACACAACATGTCAACCAACACACACACACATACACATCTAAGTCGCCCCTCTCACCTTCATCACTCGTCATCATCGTCATCGTCGTTGGTTCCACCGCTTCATGCACCTCCTCAACGCTGTGAAACGTGTGTGTGTGTACAGACACAAGAAGAGGAGAATGCAGGGGGGGTGAGGTTGACAGCGAAGCATCATCAACCACACGCCAGCCCCATCCAACCACCCGCATTGACACACAACCACACGCACACATGTTGTCCCCACCACCACACGCACGCACACACACATGCTCACCTCTTCGTCAGAGCGGCTGACATGTGCAATGTCTTCCTCACGCCAGATTGGGGCTGGTGTCGGCCGGTTGATGGCGGCTGTGCAGTCGATGGCGATGATGACGGTGATGGTGACAGCGGAGCTGCGGTGGAAGAGAGAGAAAGGAGAGAGAAATGGAGAAGGTTGATGATGATGGGTCGTTCATGGCGGCTGCTTTCCCCTCCTCTGATGTGGCCCTGGTGTCCATGCAACCAACACACAACGACAAGATACAACGATATCATCACACAAAGGCACAGGCATGGCATGTGAGCGCAGCAGACGTGTTCACCTTCCGTCCCCTCCTCTGCTTTCCCCCTCCGCACTCCATGACACACACACACCTGCTGCACATGACTGCGTCGCTGTGGTTGGATGTGCCCACCATGACCATGGACGTGTGTGTCCACAGCTGCTGCTCCCAACCCATCATGTGTGCACCGCCCATCATCCCTCCAACGATCCTCAGGCAGCCATCCCTGC